GCGACACATCTCCCACATAAGGTTTCTTTGGAGGAAAACACTAAACCAGGGAAAATCGGAAATGGAGGGAATTTAACATCGAGATTACTGACTTGGAATAATCTAAACTGAATGCTAAATGAGGGTTCCACTATACTGGGCCATCCAACTAAAAATTACTCCTTAACTGCTTAGCAGTCAAGAAGGCAGAACAGGTTGAAGCAGAGGGGATGGGGAGGAAAGGATCAGGAGGGAGACAAAGGAGGAGGTAGGGGGATAGTTTAACTCATTCTGTATCATTATAACTAGTTTCTTCAAGATTAATCTTAATATTATTCCTCCACATCCATCTGTCTCCCTAGTAAGAATCCCCTTCACATTTATGTATGCGTATCTTATTCATTTTCCATCCATGCTATATGTCTACCTTATTATTATCTCCATGATATACTTACCCTAACATTACTAAAATTAGACTGTAAATTATAAAATTGGCCATGGTATAATTTCTTCTATTACCCATTCATTTCATCCCTTTGGGTCCAAATACTTGCAACCTATTTTGCTCCATTAGGCAATGTTCCATAACTTCAATAAAGGGAAAAGTAAATATATATGAGACAAACACCATCTTAAGTGTAACAATTTAATTGTAGTTCTTTTTTCTTTCCCTCCTCCTACAATTAAATTGTTACACTTAAGACGGTGTTTGTCTCATATATATTGTGTGAGTGTAACAGGATGCTCAAATATGATATGGGAAAAGTAAAGTTTTACATAACTATCCTTTCTGCCTACAAAGCCCGCTACATCAAAATACCTACTATCAAGAGTATAATATTCCCATGTCATGAAAATGAATAAATACGCATGGACTTCTGACAAGAAAGCAGCACAAATGATTGTGTATTAAGTGGCAAAAGAAGACTTGTGGAGGTATCAATGATGTCTGATTGAGAACTGACAATAATATTTAGTGGCTTCAGATATAAGGGGAAGACCTTAAGGAAATGGACACAGAAAAATTTTGATATGGGATGATTTATTCTGAGAAAGCTGGGTGATCTAGATATTAAGAACAGTACTGGTCAAAAAACCTAAACAGGTTTCCAGCTCTTGAAAACATGTGACATAAATGTTAACATCAGCTCTATATTGGAACAAACAACAATTTAACAAAGAGCACTACAAATTATAAGAGCAAAGGAAGCAGGGGACACACAGTAGCGTAGTTGGTTGAGGGGCTATGCTACAAGCCAGAAGGTCGCGGGTTCAAGTCCTGATGAGGACACTGGATTCTTTTCAATTGACCTAATCCTTCCAGCCACACTATGGCCCAGGGGTCAACTCAGCCTCTAACAGAAATGAGTACCAGGAATTAATTAAATAAATTCCTGGGGAGTAAAGGGCAGCCGGGGCTTAAGTCTGACAACCTTACTGCCATCTTTGAGCCGACTGTCTTAGATAATGTGGGACCCTCAACGTCTAACAACCCTATGGGCCTTCACGGCCTGTTACAGGGATAGCTTTACTTTTACTTACCCATAGGATCCAAACCACATAGAGATAATTACAGTAATCCAAGATGCTGAATTAATTAACCTGAATTCACTGAGCACTCACTAACAAGATTATAAACAACCATACACACGATATAGGAGCTGGGATAGCGCAGTCGGTACAGTGACTGACTACGGGCTGGAAGACTGAGGGGTTGGAGTTCAAGTCCTGGTAAGGTCAAGAATCTTCTCTTCTCCACACTGTCCACACCAACTCTGGTGCCCATCCATCCTCCTATTTGAGAGGGGAGGGGCTCTTTCCCCAGGGTTAAAGCTGACCACTCACCTCCAACTAATTCCAAGGCCAAGAAAAATGTGGATCTATACATCCACTCCCCCATATGCCTTCATGACATAGTGCTTAATCAGTTAAGCACAGAGGGTAACTTTACTTTTTTATACACGATGTATCACCATAAATAATAGCCCTCTTGATTTTCACCTTTTTGTAGTTGGTAAAATATTGAAATTCCAGGAGGAGCCAGTGCTGAGTTTTGGAAACCACTGCATTTGTATGTTAGCTGCGTGGAAAGCCATTATTATCCCCCCCCCCCCAAAAAAAATAAAAATTATATTTGTTTGATTTGTGACCCTTCTCGCTTAAACACATTTATTCTCCTTCCACTTTCCATTCATGGAGGAAATGCTCCACTCCCTCGAACCATGCCACAACAGACATGGGAATTAATGCCAGATATGATTTCATTTAAATTCTTCTTGGGCAGCTGGTTTTCTTTCGTGCAATTAAGAATAGCCCTAAAGTATGGAACATTGTGGTATTGACTGGCTCTGCACAAACTGCCTACTGCCTGCTGTAAGAGCAACTTACAATGGGCAGGTCAAACAGATATACATCATAGACTCAATACCAATACAACATTCAGTAAACTGACACATACCTGGCATTATCTGCCTCCAGTGCCTTGCACCGCTGCCTAACCTGGATCCATTCTTCTTGACTTTTATTATCTTCACTACCAGCATGATGTTTCAGTTCCTCTTGAACGGCTCTCAGTCTGTCTTTCATCTGCTCAGCTTCATTACGGCTTTGTTTCGCACTCTGCTGAGATTCCATCAGTTGATCTGAATAGTAAAATGTAATCTTGGCAGACACAGTATACACCCATTAAAACACTCCATCAGTCTACATAAACATACACAAGATCAATTAAAATCATACTTTTGCTTTCAATGGAATATGAAAATTATTGTAAAAGAGCAGAATTCTGAGTCTCATATCCTGAATCATTTGTGATAGGTTAACTGTCATTACAATTTTCAAATAGTGCAGTGTCATGAACAATACTCATAATAAAGATGGCTACAATACACTTTTTATCCAACAGTTCAGTTTCATATTTCAATCATTCCAGTATCTAATGTCTGACTTTATTTTCTGCTAGATACATTCACAGGATTGACACATCAAACATGACATGCATGTTTAAAATGTTGGTACTCTGTAACTAAAACATCTCTGAGGATGCATCATCATCAGATAGTGACACAGATCATTGCATCACCACGTAAAAGTTACCAGATTCTATTTTCCACATACAATGGGGACTGTCACTCACTGCGCACATGACTTTTCTTACAGAAGGCTGCTTACTCAAGGCATGACATATCCTCATAGATGTTTAGGCAAAGGTGTTATGCTATAACCCAGTGTGACATTACATTACCCTACAAACTTTAATCAGTTTCAGTTATACACACTCAATATTTCTTTCAATGGTGAAGGTGAAAAATGTGAAATGTGGTCATGGCAGTTCTTACCACAGCACCCAAACTTCCTTCACAAAATTGTTTTCTCTTTTTCAACATTTCATCGAATAATTTTCTGATATTCTGAATGTGATTATGTTCTTATTACATAATGACAACACTTCAAATTTTGCACTTGTTAACTAAATCATTCAAAATGTTTATATTATTTCCTGAACTTCTTATTCACCACTCCATATAGCAATGTTGTAATCTTAACTTCTTTGAGGAGGAATTCAAAAAGTGGTCCATAAGAAGTGTGCCTAACAAACTGATGTTTTATTAAAGCCTCACATTTACAAACACCTTAGAGAATAAATCTGACTGCACATATTTAACAGTGTTTCTGTTAGCCTGTAAATGTAATACTGTGTATTTTAAGGGTGCTAATTTGACCATTTTCACGCACACAGGGAATATAAGGGAAAAATTTATATGCACAATTTTCTTAGAAGAAGACTTTCAATTTATTAGTGGTGTTAATGGCACGTTAAGTCTTTTCAGTATTAACATGAATCAAAAGAACCATAACATATAAGAAAATTAAACTTCTTATGAGAATTTTACAGTCTTCCACTCATTTTGTGAAAGAATTACAAATGATATACTATGAAAATGAACCATCAAGTCTTTACTTCTTGTAATAAAACTATCTCAGTGGATAAATGATAAAATGTAAATGATGAGGTGGCAGTCCACCCAATACCATATTATACTGCCAAATGGATGGCAACTTCCCCTAGTCTCATCTACAGATTCCTTATCATGTGACAATGTAACAACACACACCACATTTTTAGTATGTTTCTTGGATGGTCAAAAGTGAATGTACTTCTCTTGCCAACTTAATTACCAAAACAAGCATCTTGCCAAATCAGCTGCTTATGGCAGAATTCATTCACTTTTCTCATCAAAGGAATCCCATGTTTTGCAATTATTGCATTTATAAACATTAAATTGACATACAACGTAAGGCCTCAGCTTCCTCAGAATATTGAACACTGCGCTGCTGTTCATCTTGGAGCCGTTCCTGCAACTGTAATACTTGAAACTTCACCTCATCAGCTGATGTTTCAAGCCAATGCATTTGTTCGTGTAATCTGGTTACTGATTCAGACTTTTCCTGCATCTGATTTTGGGCTGCCTATAATAGAAAATGGTTATGTATCTATTTCTACAGTATAACAAATGGAATTTTTAACAATTTTCATGAATAATTTTCTAACATGGATTGCTTTTAACAATTACAGAATTTATATTATTATTATTATTATTATTATTATTATTATTATGTATGGGCTACATACTGAATTACATACTAGTGCATAATATAAATTTTTAGCATGATCTTCAGTTATTGATAAGTTAACAGTCATAAAAAACACTACATTTGATGCTGACTGATAGATAAAGTTTATTTGGTGACTTTCTGAACTCTGCACAGGTTACATGGTATCAAACGGCAGGATAATTGTGAATGACGAATTGGAAACAATGCTGAAAGTATCAGTGGTGACCTATTTTAAGGTACTGCTTGGGTGAAAGGTTTATGGGAAGCCATGAAAAAAATGTCAAAATTGCTGATTGTTGTATAAAGATTCAAATACCAAACCTCCTATATATGAAGGTGGACTACTATCCACTATTCCATGGTATTCAGTCCCAAGCTTCAACCAGTCTGTCAATAGCATTATTTGTTGACATAAAGCATATACGAGGTCTGACAATAAAGTTCATGAACTCGCCACCATGTGCTTGCTGTGGCAGCAGTGGACAGAAACTTCAGTACACTTTGATGATGACTGTATATCAGCGTGTCACAGCTGTGTTGTTGTTGATCTAAGGTAGTCTCTTTCTGAGTGGCATCTATTACTGTCTGAGTATGTTTTGGTGTGCCATAGTAAGAATTTTGGAGCTTGAATTAGAGCAACAAATGAACAATAAATTTCTTGTTAAACTTGGCAAAATCAGAGAGATGTTAGTGCAAGTGCCCCCAGTGACTTTTTTCTGTTTCCAAAGATAAAGGAAATATTGAAAGGAAGGCACTTTAATGACACTGATCAGAAGAAATACAATGGCAGCTCTGAAGGCCATTACACAAAACCAGTTCCAAAATTGTTTTGAAGGATGGACTAGGTGCTGGCATCAGTGCATAGCTTCTCAAGGGGAGTGCTCTGAAGGTGACCGCAGTGATATTTAGCAATGAAGTATGCAGCACTTATCCCACGATGAGTTCGCGAACTTTACTGTCAGACCACATATGTAAAAACATCTCCAGCAAAACATCCCTCCAGCAAAGACAGTCTTACTTAAACAGAAAAGATGGAAAACAGTACTACAGACATTTACTGTATTTTCACCATATGAAGAATTAAAATTAAAAATTTCTTGGCTCACAACACCTCTCAATTTCCCTTGAGTAGCATCCTTTTGACATCCAAAACCAAGGCTTTGCTTGATTAAAGAGTAATATAACAGATTCTAAAGGATTCTGATGATGGTGTATAACACACAGAATTACTGAGTTTTTTTTTTTACTTTTTCCATCATCCAGTATTCTATAAAATAGAAATCACAACATTTCAGAAGCTGGATCTGTTTATGTCCTCAGGTGAGGGGGGGGGGAAGATACCTACTCAGCTGGGCCCATTAGAAAGAATCACTGGATTGAGATCAGCTCTTTTGATAGGGCCCAACTGAGTAGGAGTCTTCTCCCCTTCACTTGAGGACAGAAAGAGATCCAGCTTCCCAAACGCTGTGTTGTATATTTTCTAGAATACCAAACGATGGAAAAAGTCCAAGAACCCAGTAATTCTGTGAATAATATAATAAAAAGAAAACTTAATTTGATATATTGTCACATGATGTTAGTGACTACAGATTGGATATGGATTGGTGACTGGAGTTATTGACCACTTATACCCATGACTCGGAAGTACAAGTAATTACGGCACTAATCACCGATTTCAAAACTTTACAAATCACTAGCACATGATAAATTTTGTCAATCTCCACTAGTTATATCCTGGCAATGGATTTTATAGCAGTCCTACAGTAACTACACCCCACATAGTGTCTTCACAGCTGCACTCTTGCAACACTTTCTTCATAGCTGGACTTCCAACTCTAAACTAAACTGGATCACCAGCTCTTCTCAGACTCCCCCGCAGAGCTCAACTGAATTGCCAACACTCAACTGAACTAGACTGTTCCAACTGTCTTCTTTATAACTTCTCAATGCAGATCACATCAAAAAACACCCTTCTTCTTTGTTGTATGTGTGTTCGTTTCCACAGGAATGTGTTCACCAAGCCATTGTAGAGAAACAGCCATTTTTTAATCACTTACTACACAGCAACAGCTATACTCATGGTTTTTTTTAAGTTCCATCAACCTGTATAGCTTACAGGCATACTGATTTTCTTCTTTCCCGAGGGCTGTGCTTGGTCTCACCTTCCTCACTGTGGCTCAGTTTTCTGCAGTGTCTACTCTCCAACCACTCCANTTCTCAATGCAGATCACATCAAAAAACACATTTCTTCTTTGTTGTATGTGTGTTCGTTTCCACAGGAATGTGTTCACCAAGCCATTGTAGAGAAACAGCCATTTTTTAATCACTTACTACACAGCAACAGCTATACTCATGGTTTTTTTTAAGTTCCATCAACCTGTATAGCTTACAGGCATACTGATTTTCTTCTTTCCCGAGGGCTGTGCTTGGTCTCACCTTCCTCACTGTGGCTCAGTTTTCTGCAGTGTCTACTCTCCAACCACTCCACTGCTCCCTCCTTAAGGCCATTTGTCCTGAGTGGCTACCTGATAAGGTGTGAGGCAGTCCAAGTTTATGACCATCGTCTTCCTCCACTTGGTGTGACCAACAGTTCAAAGAGCCGTCAATGCTCTTACACTGCTGGCTCCTGCTCTGTGTGCTGTCTTTTCGTTTCAGAGGGGGCTGACCCTTCCACAATTTCCAGTCACTTGTTCTCTGAAGTCTAATGGAAGTCCAAACTATTTACTTTGTGACCTGTAGCTCTTGGGTCTTCCTGAAGATCCTGCCGAGTGCTGCCTTGCTTTCCAGACGTGGCTCCTGTCTTGAGCTTTAGTTCCTTATTCCAGTGATGCCTTTCAGTTTTGCCTGATGTCCCTTCTTGAACATCTGTCCTTTAGGGATTCCTCTTGCAACAGTCCTAGCCTTGTCCCTTATGCCATGCAGGAATGGCACAGTGGGTCATCCCTCTGCATGCAGCAGCCAACTTCTTCCAGGACCCACCACTGCCCTGGGTTCATTTCTTCAGCTGACCGAGGAGCCCTAAGGCTAGATTCCAGTTTACATGCCATTTCTTCAGTGCTCTGACAGGTTTCATTGTGACCTCTTCCTTAGGGACCCCCTCAAGCTCCACCACAGATTCTATTTCTTCTGAGGTTGGTTCCTTACTCTCTAGACATGCCTCCATCACTTCTTGGCAGGCCACAGTCTCTTTTCACTATGTCCTCATATCTGCTAGCCAGGCATCCATCTTGGCTAGCCCTTATTTCCTTTAGCTTGACACCCGTCTTCTTGTGGTGAGTCCATTTTTCCTGTTGATTCTGTTTTCAGCCAGCAGGCATACCATCATTTGTTCCACTTCCATAGTGCGGCAGTTCAACAATCAAGCTCCACTGCAGTTTCCAAATCACTAGCATATGCTAAGTCTTCTAAGTCTTCATGAGTTGTATCTATCTTGACAACAGATTTTATAACAATCTCATTAAAACTACAGCACACATAAAGTCTTCGTCTCACAGCTGCACTCTTGCAATTCTTTTCTTCACAGCCTAACTTTCAACTCTCAACAGGATCACCACCTCTTCCCAGCCTCCCTTGCAGAGCTCAACTGAACTGCCAACCCTAAACTAACTGGATTGTCTTCTTTATAATTCCTCCGCATGGACCACACTGAAAACACCTTTCTTCTATTGCTGCATGCATGTTCATTTCTGCGAGAATGTGTTTACCAAGCGGTTGCTCAGAAATGGCCATCTGTTTATTTACATACTGCATAGCAATGGCTGTACTTATAATTTGTTTCATGGTCTTTGCCTAGCAATAAGTCTATACATCACAATATTGTTGCATGTCACATGCATATTATCACTTTTTGAGGTTAGGTGAATTCTGTTACCGAATATGAATATGTACTCATGTTTACAATGTGTTCACAGTTCTTTAAGCAAGTTAGTAATTCTTGCTACAGAGGATTTGGAGCAGAAAATAATTAAAAACCTGAAAACTAAATCTTAAAGATCAACATAACTTGCCTGCAGCTGGTGCTTCAACATGTTTGCCTCCTCTGTGGTTTTCTTCATTTTGAGTTTGGCACAATCTAATTCATGCTGATAATGCTGCTGCTCAGCCTCAGCATCACGCTTCTTGCCACGCGACTCCGCAAGTAACTCTATGCATTACAACTAGACTATGTCATTATTTACATATTACTAACATGTATGTTCAATTCACAGATAAATAAAAACTTGGAAAAGATAAAATAAACATTAGGAACATAGGATCTGAGGTTCTCACAGTGGTGGTTATGAAGAGTTCTGTCTTCTGGGATAGAGCGCTGTGTAGGATCTGAGGTTCTCACAGCGGTGGTTATGAAGAGTTCTGTCTTCTGGGATATAGCGCTCTGTAGGATGAGGTTCTCACAGCGGTGGTTATGAAGAGTTCTGTCTTCTGGGATAGAGCGCTGTGTAGGATCTGAGGTTCTCACAGCGGTGGTTATGAAGAGTTCTGTCTTCTGGGATACAACGCTGTGTAGGATCTGAGGTTCTCACAGCGGTGGTTATGAAGAGTTCTGTCTTCTGGGATATAGCGCTGTGTAGGATCTGAGGTTCTCACAGCGGTGGTTATGAAGAGTTCTGTCTTCTGGGATATAGCGCTGTGTAGGATCTGAGGTTCTCACAGCGGTGGTTATGAAGAGTTCTGTCTTCTGGGATATAGCGCTGTGTAGGATCTGAGGTTCTCACAGCGGTGGTTATGAAGAGTACTATCTTCTGGGATATAACGCTGTGTATGTAGTCCACTGAAAGTCAACTGATGTTTTGAAGGAACATATCTCCTCCATCTTGATGGTCAAATAAGCTGATTAAGATACCAGCATGAAAGCAGGTGGCAAGCCAAGTAATTGGCTGGCTTCTGTCTAAGTAAGTCATGGAAACCTCTCATCTGTTCTCTGAAAGATCATGTGAAGCCTCCATCACATGACAGCAGATCTGGGTTTTCCATAGGGACACACAGGTCAATGCACACTGCCCTTATCAGGGCACAAAATATGCCCTCTCAAGACAGTCAATAGTCTCCACACTGATGTCCTGGCTTCCTCCAACTTCCTCTGTTCCTTCATCCCCCAACCGCATGCCTGTAACTCAACTCACTTGACCTCTCCCCCTTACACATCTGTTCCCAGCCAAACACACCTTTACACTCTTTCCTTGTCTTTTTCCCAGACCAGCAAAACCGCACCTTTTCAGGGCCATCATAAACTCCTGTTCTTGTCTCCTACCGGTTTGCTCAGTGGTTGCATGACAACCCAGTAGTTTCATTCTGTCACATGGTGAGCCAATGGGAACTGAAGTCCACTCTTCCATTTCCTTCCTGTTTCCTATATAACCTGAAATTTCTGTCCAGCCAATTACTTGGCTTGCCACATGCTTTCACGCTGGTATCTTGCTCAGCATATTCAACCCTGAAGACAGACGTGACTGACTTTCAACAAACTGTATGGTGTTATATCATAAAAAATTGTTCTCTTCAAACATTGGCAAATTATAAAAAAGCAAGCAAATAAGGCATTTATTATCCTTTAAAGGCTGAAGCTCAACTAAATAATATTTAAAAATTCAGTCCTTACCATACCTCAGAGAAAATATTGTTCTCCATTAAAGAGATCAGCTGGTTAACGATATTTATGGAAATAATCACTATATTCTGAGAACCACATGAAACATAAATAGAATAAAAAAGATAATGTTCAAGCAGGCAGTACGTTAGGTAACCAATGTACTTCAAAAGTATAAACATATTTCAGCCTAAAAAGGGCAATCTAAATAGGGAAAGTTAAGATACAGTAACAATATTTTGTTGATAGATGCAGTAATAAAAGTTAATTGCAACAGACTGCATAAAGTTCATGGTTAAAATACTCCTGCTGCTGAAATGTATAAATGTTCAACTTCTTTTAACTCACATATACTGAAACTCTGCATTCAGTGTGGCTTTTGTCTTTTCTTTGAATCACTTTCAAAACGGTGAATATTAATGAAATATTCATAAAATTCACTGTTGGCATTTAAGCGATGTTATATTCAAGAGATCAGTTAAGATGGTACATATTTAATAACAATTTACGTAGTGTAAAAATCAGATTTCATTAAGTTAGTCTATATATTTGTAGCTTCTTTAATGATGCTGTCAATAACTCAGACAACATATGATCAAGTTAATTTGAAAATAGTGTTCACATATGTACTCTTCTGATGTCAACTGCACATGGACATCTTCTTCAACATGTACAATAAACAAAAGAAATAAAAAGTAATACATACACCACATTCTAAACCAAAACAAATGCAAAGCCTGGAAGACAGACTGTACCAAACTACACATACAGGACAACACATGCATCACAAAGTCAAGGCTAGAAAAATAAATAAAAAATGGAAACTCATGTTCTACAACAGACAATACACAACCAGTTAACAACTGGAAGAGACAGTCCACAAACTATACATGGAAAGAAAAATATACAATGGAGAACCTATTTGCAAATCTGTTAGTACCAAACATCTAAAAACAACCACTGTGGTTAACAATGTTAAATACTAATTAATACTCCACAGTCTGCATACATTATATTGAGAGAAAATCATTTTAAATTTCTGACAACTTAAAATTAAAAGTATTAAGAAAAATATTTTAACAAAGTGGGACAAAATACACTGAAAATCAGCTCAAACCATTATAATTTGTATGCTTCTCCAATAACTGTATTATACATATGCATCCAAAATTTGCAAACAATGGCCAATGTGTAGCTATTAACACTTATGCTCACAATGAGTGTAGAACGGCCTGATGACAGATGACAGCCAAAAAGTCAAAACATGCTCCAACAATAAAGAACTGTATATAATTAATTCAAGTTCATGCAACAGTTGTGATAAAGGGAACTTCTATGTATACAGCTGGAATACTTCCTGCTAGACTACAATATCCATTACTGGTCTTCAGCACCATTAAAAATTTCAGGCATGCATAAATTGAAAGCAAATGTTCTTCAGAAGCACACGGATCTGTGGGTTTTATCCTTGTCAAAAACCATTTAATTTCAAGATATGGGACAGACTGACAATTACATTCAACTAAATTCAAATATATTTGTCAACTATTTGTAATGTTCAGTAGACACTACCTTACATAGAGAAAAATGAAATGTTTCTACATTTTTTAATCGTTTCTTGCATCCTGTTGTGTGTTTAATCAATAGTAGAGTGAATTTACCAACTATACAACACGTTTTTTATCACCTTATCACTATATGTTTTGACCTCAAGAGGTCATCTTCAGGTGTATGAACACGGCTGTATAATTACACGCGGTCACATTCACTTTTCATTCATTCGATCTTGTATCTTTTCCAGACTTACGCTCACTAATATATTGAGTTCTTTTTATAAAACACAGGTTAAAATTATTATTCTTCTAACTTAATTGTTAAAAGTTAAAAGTTCATGAATCGAGGTTCAATTCATGTCACTGGTTACACTTTCACTTGTTTTTTGGTCTTATTTTTACTTACACTCGCTACTGTATCTAGTTCTTTTTAAACTACTTCAGTTATTATTATTGTTAAAAGTTAGTGAACTGAGGTTCAACTTATGTTATTAGTTACACTTTCACTTGTTTGTGAGGTCTCACTGTTCTTCCGCGTTCTTTGATGTTGCTGGATCTGTTATGATCAGTACCCATCACGACAACGATCATAACAGATCCAGCAACATCAAAGAATGCAGAAGAACAGTGAAACCGCACAAACAAGTGAAAGTCTAACTAATAACATAAGTTGCACATCAATTCACGAACTTTTAACAATAATAACTAAACTACGTGGTGAATTCCGTATATAATGCCTATTTTTTTGTGTTAATATGTAACGTCTGAGCTGGATGTTGGTGGTGTTGTAGTAAAGGTTGAACCTTCCCGCCAATGTACTGTTAATTTGGTTGTTATGCGACAGATAGCGACAGCAGAGCAGTCTACCAAAATGGCGTCTGACATAGAAGTGTGTATGAAAGAGAAATGTTATTGAATTTCTCACTGCCTAACAAATTGTACCCATTGACATCCATCAACACTTGCTAAAGGTGTGCGGAGACAATACAGTGGATGTCAGCACAGTGATTCGGTGGGTAGTGTGTTTCAACAGTGGCGAAAGTGAAGTACACAACAAGCCACGCCATAGGCACCCTGCTAACCTGCCACTCCTCACAATGAACAGCACCTCATCCGAACACATCAGCAGATAACGACCAGGGACTGTCAATTCTGAACGCTACAAGATGACGCTGACTAAGCTGAAAGCCCGTATTTCCCAAGTCAGGCCAGAGAAGCAGACAACCTTTCGCTTGCAACAGATAACGCTAGACCCCATACCAGTTTGGCGACCACCGCGCACATTGCAAAGTTTGGCTGGACTGTCCTACAACATCCACCTTATGGCCCCGGTTTAGCACCTTCAGACTTCCATCTCTTTGGGCCTATGAAATATGGATTAAGTGGGCAACATTTTCCAGACAATGATGCTGTCATTGCAGCTGCTGGCGCAGACTTTTAAGGGCGTGGCATACAGGCTCTTGTTCATCGATGGCAAAAGTGCATAACGAATGGTGGTGATTATGTGGAAAAATAGCTGTAAGTGACTGAAATCTTGCTCTATTTAACTGCATTATTTTGATTTCTGTATGTGCTGTAGTTTTCTTTAAAAAAATAGGAGGCATTGTACGTATATGGAACACCCTTAGTAGTTCAAAAAGAACTAGATACAAGTAAAAATGAGACCGAAAAACAAGTGAAAGTGTAACCAATGACATGAACTGAACCTCGATTCACGAACTTTTAACTTTTAACAATTAAATTAGAATAATAATAATTTTAACCTGTGTTTTATAAAAGAACTCGATATATTAGTGAGCGTAAGTCTGGAAAAGATACAAGGTCGAATGAATGAAAAGTGAATGTGACCGCGTGTAATTATACAGCCGTGTTCATACACCTGAAGATGACCTCTTGAGGTCGAAACATGTAGTGATAAGGTGATAAAAAACGTGTTGTGTAGTCGGTAAATTCACTCTACTATTGTTTCTACATTGTTAATTTCCTGTTTCCTATTTCAGTTACAAATTATTTCTTGGCTAAATTCAAAATAACATCTAATAATGCTAATTTTTAACAAAATAATTTGATATCAAACTTCTGTTCATTAAACCTCTTGCAAAAGAAGTTAGGCACAACTGTGATTCATCACACAGGTCAATATACTCTTAGTCTTCACAGATAACACAATATAAGGTGATACCACCATTGTACATACAGAAACTAAACACAAAATATATGGAGAAAATTAGAACATTAACCCACTTTACCTGATATATAATTTATATATGATTAAAAGCGGGTGAAGTTCTTGATGCATTCATCCTATATGAGTTTCCCATGCTACAGAGCACACTCTTCTTGAGAAGCTAAAAGTCACTCAGCTATAACAGCATTTTAAGTTTCTCCTTCATGTATGATATTTTGATATGATATATTTCTACGTGGTGTGTTCAATAAGTATGGAACCTTGGTCGGCAGAAATACATTTATTGATTTTGAGGTACAAAACCCTAATCCCTTTCAAAGTAGTCTCCTTGGTAATGCACACACTTCTACCAGTGCTTCCACCATTGTTGGAAACACTTCTGGGACGCGTCTTTTGGAACGGTGATCAGCCAGGTCGTCGCATTCCGCATGATGTCTTCTCTTGACTCAAATTGGGTTCCTTACAGTGGCATTTTCAGCTTGGGAAATAGCCGAAAGTCAGATGGAGCCATGTAGGGGGAGTAGGGAGCCTGACGAACCACAGGGATGTTGTGTTTGGTGACAAAAATCTGAATCAGATGAGCAGAATGGGCAGGTGTGTTATCATGATGGAGCTGCCAAGTTTTTGCTGCCCACAGATACGGTCGTTTGTGCCACACAGCATCACGAAGGCGACGAAGGACCTCCTGGTAGTATTCCTTTGTGATGGTTTGGCCTTGAGGTGGGTACTCATGATGCACAACGCCACGGGAGTCAAAGAAAACGGCCAACATGACCTTGACATTGCTGCGGACCTGCCGTGCTTTTTTTTGGCTTCAGGGATGTTGGATGTTTCCACTGTGACAACTGCATCTTGGTTTCCGGGTCGTACCCATAAACACACGACTCATCATCGCCTGTGATCACGGTGTTCAGAAAGTTGAGGTTACTGTTTGCATTGTCCAGCATGTCCTGTGCGATTTCCAGACGGCGTTGCTTCTGCTCCATTGTTAGCAGTTTCGGTAGAAATTTCGCACACACTCTCCTCATGCCCAAATCCTTGGTCAAAATAGAATGTACCGATCCAATGCTTACTCCTATTTCGTTTGCAAGTTCTCAGACTGTGATACGACAGTCCTCCATGACCAAAGTCCACACTTGCTCAATGACATTCTCATTTTGGCTCGCTGAGGGTCTGCCTGAACGCGGTTCGCTGTCCACTGATGTGCAGCCATCTTTGAAGCGGTTGTACCACTCCTTTATCCGTGAGTTGCTCATGGCATCGTCCCCGAAAGCCTGTTGAATCTTGCGAATGGTTTCCACTTGGGTATCACCAAGCTTTTGGCAAAATTTGATGCAATATCACTGCTCATGTTGTTCCGTCATTTTACACCTTACTGGAATCCGACGAGCGCTCACTACACGTCCTCACTCATAGGCCGACTGCCAGCGACTGACGCTTTCTGAGGGCGGGAAAAAATTCAAGACTCCACATGAATGTCCCCTCCACATCTCCACTGAAGGGAGCCTCTCACGCTTCATTGGTTTACGCAGGAAAAAATAAGGTTCGATACTTTTTTGAACACACCACGTATATAATATTGTGGCATGTAGACCTGTTTTTTTTTATTGCTAGTGGGGTGGGACTAAGTCCCTTGTACTGTGGCCACTTCTGGCCTATTGTACCAGCCCCAGATGATAGGTGGAATGAAGACTGGCAGGGGAAACCGAAGTACTCGGAGAAAACCTACCCCAGTACCACTTTGTCCACCACAAATCCCACTTTACCAGACCCGGGATCGAACACAGGCTGCCGCAGTGGAAAGCCAGCGACCGCTTGAGCTATGGCGTGGCCCAGGTAGACCTGTTACTAGGCAANACACGGGCTGCCGTGGTGGAAAGCCAGCAACCGCTTGAGCTATGGCGTGGCCCAGGTAGACCTGTTACTAGGCAACAACCTGTAAACAGCAAGAGAGGAATGGTGTCTTCTGTGTGGCCCACTAAGCAACAACTGAACAGTATGAGAGGAACACTGTTTTCTGTGTGGTCTGTGCTGAGATGTTATAAGCAGGGCAACTGGAGCAATGAGTTAGTTTACAGTCAATCTAGTCATGCGACAATATTTTACAATGTAAAAATTTTAAAATGGTGACCTGTTCAATTAGCTTTCCATCCATGATAATAATAATCTTGCTTCAACTCCAGATTTTGAAGTTCACCTTTTGTAACAGGACCAATGTATTCACGAGAATAAATTTTCTACTGCTGTGATCAGTATTTTTCCAGATAATTTTAAATTAATTCTCATGTACAGGATTAAGACATAAAATATCTTTCACAGATGTTTAGATCTTTCACTATTTTATACAGTCCAACTTGTTAAGTTGATCCATTTCAAGTGACTGACAGTGTGCTTTCATTATAACATTCTTCAGGACATATGTTACAAGCAAACTACAACCTTAGTGACACACACTCTAATATGGTGTGTATACATGCGTGTACTGTAAAACTTGTCAGATTAACAAAGAGCAGTAAAATTCTGAATCATAAAGTATTGTTAAAAATGAGCAAAGAGGTAATGTAATCAAACTACTAAATATTAAACAATCCATGAATGAATAAGCAAAATTCTGTAACATACCCACAAACCCTGTACTTACGGGCTTGGAATTTCACATGCAGAAAGCGAGAAAGAGCATGCTGGAACATAAATGAAGTGTAACCAAACCTTTTAAAACAATCACCATGCAGACGTAATGCTCTACACACAATTCCAAATCATGACGAGCTTCTACAAAAGATACAAACAATATTAATGCACAACCAAGCACACTATACAATTAAATGTTGCACTGTTAGTGATCACATGACAAATATAATGAAGTACTAAGACATCAACACCGTATTTCACTTGACAATGCAGTTTCTGTATAGTGAGATGATCTTAAACTGGTCTACATGTTTCCTTCTCCATCCAGACACAGATTCTTTAACAGTTTCATTAAGAAATGTGTCAGTTTAGTTCCCTTCCCCAAATCAGACCTACAACATAACCTACACAGTGAAGTATGATTGATTTCATACATGCACTTACTGAAGCAGCAGTGACAAATATAAATAAATAAATATATATATATTGTGACATGTTGAGCTATGGATGACGCCCCTCCCCCCCCCCCGCCAGCCGTGATGCGCCGAGCAAAGCCGAAGTGAGCCGAAGTTAGCCGAGTCCTAGCATCCTAGTCGCTATGCAAAGAGAGTCAACAGCGATGACATCACCAAGGGCAGCACGGGTAAACAGGATTGCAAGAGACGACGGTGGTAACAGCGGTTACTACCGCTAGCGTTACTAGCAACACAGCGCCAGGAAACAAGGGTGCTTATTACGTGGCCGTTTTCTGTATTGTCCAATCGAGGCTACATGAGGCGCAGCGAAGGCTATTCACAGTTAGTCCTGGAGCTACCTACGAGTCAGTCCTCGAGCTACCTCCGAGTTAGTTCTGAGTTAGCCAGCAACTAGTCAGTTGTATTCTGGCATTTGGAGTGTACTATTTGTGATACTGCAGATAGCAGTAATTGTCAATCTGTAATTTGGGTGATTGTAAGTGCGAATGTGAAATAAAATTCCCTATATCAAATACGGCGTGAAGTTATTTGTCGCGTTATACACCCAGTATGTGACAACTGGTGTCAGAAGTGGGATTTGGACTTACACACGTGACCGACAGGATTTGGACATACACACGTGACCAACGAGCTTCGAACTCAAGACACGCGACAATATATATATATATATATAAAGAGTTTCCCAAAATTTTCATTATAACAAGTGATTCCTCATCAGCTACAACTTCCATTCCACAACAAATTTCTGCATGAACTATACTTACAAGTTTGCTTTCCAAGCTAATTACTCCCATGATATGCAATGGTACTATTAAAACATATTCTGTGACTCCCCCTTATCTACAAGAAGAAAGTCTATATTCCAGAATCTGTGAACTGTATGTCTGAAGAGAGGATTTGTATGACTCTGAGGCAGAAGTGTTTAACATGCATGAGTAGAACCACTCTAATTCAAAACAAAAATCATTGGCAGATTGTTCCCTTCACCAAGGTCAAAAACAATATTAGAAGTGAGCAATAATGATTTTTGTGAAAATTAATTTGTTTTATATTCAAGACAATCCTTCTACTGCATAGATTCGGCATTTTACAGATTAGAATGTGTAGCTAAAACAAAGATATTCATCTATAGCATGCATGAACTCCTTTGCCATAGGGCCAGGGTAAGTAATGCAGCAAAATTCTTGGAGGCCATACTTCTGTCTGTGCTTCCATGTTGCCAGAAGAGATGGCATCTGCTTGAAAATCATTGGTATATGCTTGTATCACAAGATTACATTTCCCTTATCCAAAAAAGCAGCTACTTACTACCCATTCACATGCATTCTCAATCTTGGAGGGCTTCTTTAATAGGTCTCACCTTCTAGTTTAGCAATGTCAGCTTTCAGCCTCTTCGCATGACTGGAACCTGCCTCATGGGAGACCTGCAACAATGAATCATTACAGTACAAATGGCAATCCATATACAATGCCTCCTATTTTTTTGTGTTAATCCGTAACTTCTGAGTTGGATGTTGGTGTTGTAGTAAAGGTTGACCCTTCCCGCCAATGTACTGTTAGTTTGGTTGTCATGCGACATATGGTGACAGCAAAGCAGTCTACCAAAATGGCGTCTGACATAGAAGTGCATATGAAATAGAGATGTGTTATTAAATTTTTCACTGCCAAACAAATTGCACCCACTGACATCCATCAACGCTTGCTAAAGGTGTACAGAGACAATACAGTGGATGTCAGCACAGTGAGGCGGTGGGTAGCGCATTTCAACAGTGGCGAAAGTGAAGTGCATGACAAACAGCATCCTGGGCATCCCCACTCAGCTGCCACTCCTCACAATGAACAGCACCTCGATCAGCTCATTCTTGCAGATCGGCAGATAACGACCATGGAACTGTGTGCACGGCTTAATATCGGCTGTAATGCATTGGAAACGATGTTGGGGAAGCTGGATTATCGCAAAGTTTGTTCCAGGTGGGTCCCGTGGATGCTTACACAGGACCACAAAACTCTTCGAATGGAAGTCTGTCAGGACCTGTTGCACCCATCTGAGATTGAAGGTGACAAGTTTGTGGACAGCATCATCACCGGAGATGAGACATGGTGTCACCACTACAAGCCGGAATCAAAAAGACAGTCCATGGAGTGGCGACATCCGGATTCCCCAAGAAGTTCAAGACACAGCCATCAGCAGGGAAAGTGATGAGCACAGTCTTTTCGGATAGGCGGGGTGTGATCTTGTTAGATTTCCTTGAGCATGGTGAGACTGTCAATTCTGAATGCTACAAGACAACGCTGACTAAGCTGGCAGCCCGCATTTCCCAAGTCAGGCCACAGAAGCAGACAACCCTTCGCTTGCAACACGATAATGCTAGACCCAATACCAGTTTGCGACCACCTCGCACAATGCAATGTTTGGCTGGACTGTCCTACCACATCCACCTTATAGCTCCGATTTAGCACCTTCAGACTTCCATCTCTTTGGGCCTATGAAAGATGGACTATGTGGGCAACATCTTCCAGACAACGATGCTGTCACTGCAGCTGTAAGAAAGTGGCTTGCCTCTGCTGGCGCAGACTTTTACGAACGCAGCATACAGGCTCTTGTTCATCGCTGGCAAAAGTGCATAACGAATGGTGGTGATTATGTGGAAAAATTACTGTAAGTCGCTGAAATCTTGCTCTATTTAACTGTTTATTATGCTTTCTGTATCTGTTGTAGTTTTCATTAAAAGAAATATGAGGCATTATATACGGAACACTCCTCGTATTTGACCTAAATATTCAGTTTATTAAGACTGGAGGTCAATGAAGTCACTAAATGGCAATGCATTATTTCATTATTTTATGGAGACCAAGTTTTACTTGCACTGGGAACTTCATCAAGTTGATTATCACAAACTTATATCACAGTGGGTGTGCATCAAGTATGCTGATAACTGTGTATGAGAGAGGTTGAATGTGGAATGTTTAGTGTACTGATATGACAACAAAGACATCACATTTTAATGTGCCATGACCATGCAATCTATAAAAAAAAAAACTTCTCATACTCAAACAAGAGAGGCAGTCATCAATCATGGGTTTAATGGCAAAATAGTAAAAATTATGAGATGCTACATAAACTAATTTCATGCCAATGATGGTTGTAGACCTATACTACATAGGTCGTACCGAAAGTCATGAGCAACTTTTATTTTGCATGCAACCTGGGAACAGCAGATGAAAGACAGTATGGTGGTAGGTGGAACCGTTATGTTAACCTTGAGTGTCTTGTGACGTCAATAGCTTGCATCATATGACCAGTATCACTCCTAACAAAATGGCTGACAACGATATGTCATTTCGCCAGCGTGCTGTCATCGAATTTCTTGTGAAAGAGGAAATCCCTGCTGAGGAAATTCACCAGAGAATTCAGCGTGCTTATGGAAGTGTGTGCATGGGTGCGAGCAGTGTTCAAAGATGGGTGAAACATTGTAAAGATGGGAACACCAACATCGAAGATGAGCCTTGGAGCGGTCATCCTCAAACAGCCTCAACTGAAAGCAACAAGGAAAGAGTGGATGAGATCATTCAAGATGACAGGCGTATGACTGTGGACACAAATAGCTTGCAAACTTGGAATAGGGCATAGTGCAGTACAGAAGATGAGTGAAAGCTTGGGCTATAGGAAAGTTTGTGCTCATTGGGTCCCGCGGTTATTGGCCGAAGACTACAAAGGTCAGCGAAAAGCCATCACCTCAGAACTGCTGCAGAGATATCGACACGAAGGTGATGATTTTTTTGCTCTGTATTGTGACAGGTGATGAAAGCTGGTTTCACCATTTTGAGCCTGAAACGAAATGGTAGAGTATGGAATGGCACCATTTGCATTTTCCATCAAGAAAGAAGGCAAAGACAGTGCCATCAGCTGCAAAGGTGATGGGCACAGTCTTCTGTGATGCAGAGGGGTTTATCCTGGCCGAATTCCTGGAACCTGGGCAAACCATCAATGCTGCTCGTTATGTCCAGACGCTGCACAAGCTCCATCATGCATTACGCGATAAACGTCCGGGATGAAACATCATCATCCTGCATGACAACGCTCACCCCCACACCGCTCACCTCACATTCCAAGCAATTGCAAAGATGGGGTGGGAAGTTCTTCCACACCCTTCCTATAGACCTGATCTGGCACCCTCCAACTACCATCTTTTCGGATTTGTGAAGGATCAGCTGCGTGGACGTCTTGAGACAAGGGAGGCAATTCAGAAAGCAGTGCGTCAGTGCCTTCGGATGGCTGGAATGGAATTTTACAGAAGGGGAATTTTCAAACTCCCAGAACGCTGGGAGAAATGTGTACAAACACGTGGCGATTATTTGGAAAAATAAAGAAAGGTCTGTAGATTGAGGTGGTGTATTAGGTTTGTCAATAATAAAGCATGTTACTTTACAAAAAATTGTTGCTCATGACTTTCAGTACAACCCTCGTATATTGTCACTACCTCTATTTCTGACATTAGCACAGCACCAAAGCTCACTCTCTTGAATTCAGCATTACTTTCAGCTCTCTCACCAGCCACAGGTCACCATAAAGTGATTGGGTATTAACTGCACTCAATATGATGAGATGATAATCATGTACAATGATATGGAAAGAAAAAAGGATGGAAGACAGAAAAGTCATGGCACATTACACAACCATGAAAAACCTCAGGACAGTTCACTCACATAGTCTCCACCTCCTGAAGGTACAAACCAAGTTCTGATATTCATGAAATACTACTCACCTCACTCAAGCAAAACTCATTTACTGATTTTGTAACAACACAGTACCATCTGCAATATGACACTCATACTTAGAGCCATGAGGGAGCAGAGAATTATATTCTCTGATTAGATGACATGTGGTGAGTTGTTGTATATTAAAAAGAGGGTGAGTAACTCGATAAAGCATGTCCTACAGGCATTGTTGCTATGGGCAAAAATACAATCATTACACCCCCAAATTTAGATAAATTTTCAGGGTCCATTTTCTCAGTTTTGTTTTGAACAGAGGAACTGAGGCACATGAATGATACAGTGAAAAAGAGTCCTGTTATAGCCATTTTAACCAAACTGATTATCCATCACAAAAAACTGGACACAAGACTGGCTAGAAATCAGTGTGAAAGCCAAAAGAATTCTGCAAAAGATCTGCATTTGGTACCAAATATGTTTCACAACAGCCCAATCTCTACATATTATTTCACCTTGTTTGTGTCAAATTCAATCTAAAACGTGTTATTGTTGTTTATTTTACAGGAGCTGATGAACAATATAATATATTTGCAAACAGAGAAATTAAAGGCACATTAAAGGAATCGAGAGCAGACTGTGTTTTTGTGTGGGTGTGTTATCAGGAACAGGCTGTAAAATCGAGTATTATCATCTTCTGTTGCAACAAGTACACCTGAAACATTAAAAAAGAAATCTTTTATCAACAGCAGCAAACACTGCTATTAGAACTCTACTAATTAATTATTCACTGTACAACAACTTACATGTATCTTATCACAGTCTCCACTTTCACGGCAACTTTCAACTCGATCCAATTCCAAATCTAATTCTAATCCTTCTAATCGTTCCTGAAGCTCACGAATTCGCTCAGAGTTTGAATCTTCTTGTATTCGGGATTCTTCTAGTTGTGCTGAAATAAATTATGTCACAAGTTACAGAAGTGACAGACTTAGTTAATTCAATTTTAACCCTTCAGTGCCATGTCTTCTGTACCATGTCTTACCAAAATGAGCCTAAGTAATTTTTTAACAGAAACTGAACCAATCTGCATTATAACAGGAGACAGTTATGGCTAAAACTGCGTACACATTATACACTAGCTGTAACTACAAAACTTGTTTAGAAATGAACGAGTTTGATATATTCAGCAAATGTAGAGTATACAGAAAACACGATTAAAAGAAAATACAACTTTTGTCTTTTTCTTGATGAACACAACATGGAAATAGTTTCCACAGCATCCTTATAAACAGAAATACATAATGAAATAGCTATCACCTTGTTTGAAAATTGTCTAATACACCATGCAAGCATATACAAAGCTTATTATGTTAAACTGTTATTATTATTTTGAATTGTTTCATTTTTGGTCCGTTACACTATCAATCACAAAGTCAATAGAAGGTCCGTCCAGTGTAACAATTTGTAGGTCACTTCTTTATCACTTCTGCCTTACATGTTTCGGTTTAATATAACCATCATCAGAGGCACATAGTACAATCATGAAAACACTGTCGTTGTTTAAGATGTACACAGTTATGTTTGCTGCGTAGACGCTGCTACAGTATGTCGACATGTAAAAGCACAACACTTGTTAGGATTGTTGAATGCACTAACAATTCTCATATTCAACAATCCTAACAAGTGTTGTGCTTTTACACATCGACATACTGTAGCAGCGTCTACGCAGCAAACATAACTGTGTACATCTTAAACAACGACAGTGTTTTCATGATTGTACTATGTGCCTCTGATGATGGTTATATTAAACCGAAACATGTAAGGCAGAAGTGATAAAGAAGTGACCTACAAATTGTTACANTATTTTCATTAAGAAATGGGAGGCCATCTTATATTTCAAGTAAAGAAAAATGCACAAAAAATTAACCTACCAACCTCATTCATCAGTGATGTCTGGGAAAATAGATATCTGCCAGTTGTGGCACACCTCAAAACTGAGGCTTTGTCCTTCATCCAACATTACAAAAAACTAGAGAACACAACGTTTTGGACACTGGATCTGTTTCCATTCTCAGGAGAGGAGGCAGACACCTACACTTTTGGGTCCCTTAGAAAGAGCAAACCTCAATCACTGAAGTATCATGACCCCCCCCCCCCACCCCCACCCACACNCACACACACACACACACACACACACCTCAAGACAGAAACAGATCCAGTTTTTGAAACGTTGTCCTCTAGTTCTTTAGAATACTGGATGATGGACAAATCCAAAAACCTGGTAATTCCAACTGCTACACACCACAGTCAGATCTATTCAAAACTTAGGTACACTTTGAAAGCAGTAATGATCTAATATTTTTATTGCTGTTACGACCATACTCAGATGTAAGGTATTAATCTCCATATTTTTGGAACCATTACCACACAAATCATTAAGTTCCCCAGATGGAAGAGCCAGACACTCCTCCCATCTAGTCAGATGCACTGATTCAAACTACTAGCAGAACTGACAATCCTAAGTACCAACAAATTACAAATAATCTTAACCAGACTAGAGCAGATACTGAAAATGATCTCTGTTGTTGGTGTTAAGTGTTTTTCTTTCTTTACCTGGGAAAAAAGTTCCACCTAGCATAAATTTAATTGTTCCTTTAAGGGACCATCACAAGTGATGAAAAGTTGGATGAAATAGGTCCTAGGACAGAACAATATCCTTGATGTCAGATTTGAGGTTTTCATGGCGACAACTATGAAGAATGACGTCTTCTGGGATGTGGTGGCGTGAAGATCTACAGGAAACCCCATCCCAGAAGACGGCATTTAGATGTCCTGCACAGAAGATTGAGGTTTCAAGTTTCAAGTTTATTCAGTTCCCCTTCCCACAAAAAGAAATTAATGTGTGAATGAAAACCTTTTGTGAAAGGGCCAGGAAAATGTGCATAACCAAGAGCATTTTTGGCATCTGCTACAATCTAGTTTGGTTTTACTTGTAATCTGCAATGTAACAGCATCTTGATTCCATATCAACATGGGAGGGGTATGAGACTCTTTTGTCGAGGTGGTTCCATCTTAGGAAGCTTTAAAATGATTGTACTGTATTAGTAGCTCTGCCTTTGAAACATATTTAATAATTCTCTTCACAAACACTGTCATACGGTACTGCCCAGGCACAGGGTTTGGATTGATAATTCAATTTATTGGACACTTATTGCTCTTACATACATTTAATTACATCACTTTTGTTATTATTTACAATTCTGAAATAACTATAGCACTTCCCAAGTCTTTCCAGTCTGCTGTAACTTCACATACACACTACTTGGTAATGGCTTACAGCAACTGGGACTCTCCCTAATACTTTCATGCCTGATGACTCCTCTCCTCGATAAATCCTTGTATAGCTGTGTTGCAGACCAATTGCTGTGTGCATATTCATTGCCGAAGAAACATGTTTTAACAAGCAATTGCAAAGCAATGGACGCCTATGCAGAATGGATGTGTGGGAAGGGTCTGAGACAATGCAAGAGAGAAGTGAATGATAAAACCGTCCAGCCTACAATGATGCATGCACGAGAATTTTTACACTTGGCATCACAGCCTGGAAAATATATGACAACTGTGCATCCCAGCAAGCCTTTATGGGACATTGGCAGTCTTTTGGTGATCTCAAAATGTATATATGTATATATAATTTAAAGAGTAATTCTCAAAGACTTTTAGCAAAATGAACATCAATCCCAATTACAAAATCTTCACGTAAAATAACTAATTTTAAATCATCTATTAGGGATTACATGTTTAGAAGTTTTCTTACTTAACCATCTGAAGACTGAAATTCACCTAAATAATATTTAAAAATTCAAATTCTTCCTCACAAAAACACATTGAACCTCCATTACAAAGATCATTCACTAAATGTTTTTCAGGGAAATAACTGCTGTTTATTGTGAGAATCATATGAGACACACAAATACTCTGTTGGCAAAATGCAGAGTTTTTAATTCTTCCAAAAATATCTTAAGAGGGTCTCACTGGGCTTAATCACTAAAAGAACTGTGGACTGGATTCAGAAAGTGGCTTCATACTATGAATTCTGAAGGGTCTAGGGGTTGGATTACTCTCATTTGTTTTACAGAATGTATGAAAACCAAACTGAAAGTAAGTACACAATAGACTTCACTTACTGTGGAGTTCATCCACTCTTGCATGACTCTCCTTTAATTCCTCCTCAGACCTCTTGAGAAGGGACCGCAGGTTCTCGATCTCATCTTGAGTATTTTGTAATGCCTCCTTCATGTTGTCTGGTTCAATTCGTTCCAAGATAATGTCCACCTGGGTGGCTGTAAGGAAGGAGAGCCCATTTATTTTTATGTAAATCCCAAGCCCACTTTCCAGAAACATGAACTCACTCACTTTTAACTAAAGAGAGTTGGGATATCCTGCTAGTATATATGAACATTATATTTCTGAAGTATGTCTTGCAAATGACTTGAGACCTTCCAGACCCACTATTTTTCACGTAGCAGCTGAAATTTGAATGTTAGAGTAAGTGGGGGGGGGGAACTTTTCCCAGCCTAATATATATGGGGTAATTCATAAGGCCCTCCAGAACTTCTGAACTCAGTAGCACAACAACAAAGAGAGACACAGCAGAAAGAAGCATATCAGTAGCTACAGAATCTCTCCAAGTTTGTTTGGGTAATAGGTGCCATGACATATTTGCAGATTTCACTGTGATGAAACATGATGAGGACAGTGGATAAGAAAGCATTCTGTGTCTTGGACTGAGTCAATTGTGACAATGCAATGGAGGTTTTGGACCAAGTATCATGCAGAACAACCTATGGACAAAACAATTTGTGAGTTGTATAAGAAATTCCAGCAGAGTGTCTGCCTGTGCTCTGTGAAATGAACAGGCTGTCTGAGGCCATAGGCCAAGACTGTCAAGTGTGTGTGTGAGAAATTTGTGTCAGTAGCCCTCACACATCACGCAAAATGGGAACTGCAGGTGCCTCAGTCAAGTGTCTGGTGTCTTTGCACAAAAGGATACTGGCTGCAGCTGTTGTACATGCTGAATTCCCAGGATCACAAGCTTCGCTTCCAGTTCTGTGTGGATTTCCAAGGAAGATAGAGGAAGACTGGTTTGCTGAGAAGCTGATTTGCAGTGATGAGGTGACATTTCATGTGTGTGGTAAGGTGAACTGTCACAACATACACATTTGGGGAACAGAAAATCATCATGCAATGGTGGAACACATCTGTGATTCACATAAAGTGAATGTGTCTTTTGCCATCACAGAACATAAATGATTTCTGGTTCTGATAGCAATACTGCTACCTTCTCAAATGTGACCATGTGGCACTGAAGAAGAGCACTGTAATTTCAACAGTGCACTACCCCATCTTCAGGATATACTTGTAAGAATAAGCCAGACAAGCAACAAACAAGCTTCTGACAAAGACTTAACCTCTAAAGACAAGGTTAGCCTGATTGCAAGGCGCAGTAAAGAAACTCACCTGTCGAATCAGTAGATTTAAAGCTGTCGAGATCTATTTTGGTATCAATATCGTTATTGGGTTGCAGAGCGTGGAGATGTGACTGTAGGGCTGCCAGTTGTTTTTGTGTCATATCTCCATCTGCCTGCAATGCTTCCAGACGCAGCTGTAACGCTCGTTCTGCCTCCAGCTGTTCTTGTAACCTAGCCTGCAACTCTTGCTTTTCTTGTTCTAAACGTTCACACACTTCTCGATGCTGATCCTCAGTTTCCTGTAATAATTGTTTATTATGCCACTAACTGTAACCTTTCTGCAACTTTGTTCCACCTACACTTGCAATTTTGCTGTCCAAGCAACACCTGGCAGGCACTTCATAATAGTATCATTCACCCATGCTCTGAGCCTCTCCCTTGTCCAACAAAAGAAAGTTTGCATTCCAAAACTGAGTACTGTATGTGGGAATAGAAAATTTACTCAACTTTGTGGTAAGAGTGCTTTGCATGTACACGTACAGTTTCTGTGACAAACAACATAAGAACATCAGTTAACTCCTCAAAATGTTACACAGTTGCACAAGTTGACAAAGTTTTTAGGACTGCATTTAGTACAACCTCACACCTTCAAGATCAGTCTTCAGATTTTAGCAAATGAGGAACATCCATAATGTGACAGCATATTTTGTTACATGGGGAGTGAATAGGAGATGAAAATGTTTCTGTGTGTGTGCAGTAAGTTAACACTTCGCGGACCGGTAATTTAAATATTTAAATCACCCTGGGGACGGGCATTTTTAAACATACTACTCTAACTTGTGCACTGTTCACTTTAAAAATTAATATAAAATCTCCTAATTAATTTTTTGAACTAAAATTTTTGGAGAACACTTACCAATGCTCCTAGAAGTGCTGAGGGTGTGATATTTCTGGAAACTTTCCCTTTGTGAAGTGGCATTACACAGAACTTGCAAATGTAGACATGCTCCTTTTTTTTTTTGTGAACTGTGCAAACACGGCACTGCCTAGAAGCATTCTTCCCCTTGGAATGTTCACTCTTCACAATTTTCACGAAGGTATTTTTACACATATCACTCAAGAGTCGCCCTGGGGGGTCCACATGAGGCCTTCGTGGGGTGGGAGTTGTTGGGCCCAGTCATACTAGTTAGTTAGTTATTGGAGAGGGTGGGTTTCCCCATGAACTTAGACCTGTATTGGTCCATTGTGCTTCCCTTTATGATTTCTACCAGTCTCTATATACTACCGGTATTGGTGCTTACCATCAGTCCCGCCCAGCCAGCGAGACCGGCTCTACTAGCTGAGAGGTATCTATAATGCTTCCCCCATCTACAAGAGGTATTAGAGACTGCTGTTGGGCGAGAAACGTCCGTAATTTGGCTCAGTGACCTCCTTTGGAGATATGAGGTTCTTTTACGTGCCGTAAAGCTACGACACGGGACCCACGGCTTAAAGTCCCTCCCGGAGGACCTGTTCCCTGAATTTTTCTGCCCCTTAAAAATTCGACGACCTCCGCAGGGTATTTGAACCCGCGTACTACGAGTCATGAGGTGGGAACGTTACCTCTAGACCTCGGTCACACTGAGTCTTTGTGTGATCCTGGTTCTGCCACCACCACCTGGACTGTAGCCCAGGCCTTTGCCACATTCATCAGAAATGCTTTGTATTTCAATTTTGAATCAGGGTTTAGATTTTTTTTTAGATATTTTGCTGTCCCCGCAATGTTACTACGCACAATGTTATTACCCGCATTATTGTTGGAGCTACTGTCACTTTTACTGTCTGTGGCCACAATTCTTTGTCGTCCCCCGTCACTGTCACTGCCTGAATGACAATTAATCCATTACTACGCGTCTCACAAGGCAGGTCAGCTAGGTCATGAGAGGAGAATTTGTCCTTGATCCATTCGCCCCACTAGCTACTGGCTGATACACACAGCTTGAAGAAGACAAAGCATTTTCCTTTATAGTCAGTTAAGTAAACAGCAAGGTCAAGTTACTGACTGCTAACTAAACATTCCAGAGTCTTATCANTTTCGAGCAAAATTTAAATGGCCGGCTGAATATATTACCGCAGGAGGGGCGGCCGCGGAATTTAAATCACCGCGCGAAAGGGTTAACACGCGAACGGTCCGCCATGTTTAAAAGCGGAAAACGTTTTAAAGGGTGCGCGGTCCGCAAAGTGTTAAAAAGAGTTCAACCATAACTATGGCAATACAATGGAATTGCCTGAACCTGAATATGAAGCTCAAAGTAATATGTCTCTATGAAGCTGAAAACTGGTCAAAGAGAAAAAGAAACATGGTCTGGAATGACTTCTTTGACACTTTTCACCATTTTGAAGAATACAGATGAAATATGATCAGCTGTGCTATGTGATGGAAGACCAGTGCCAGAGAAACAACTGTGCAATGCAGAGAATGAAAATGATGAATCCATGCTCTGAGTTGTTTTGCTAGTAAAAATTAACAGTCATACCAGTTGACAGATATCAATGTCAATGCAAAAGCCAATCTTTTTGCATCAAGCTGACAGACTGAAAATTTCATTGCTTCAAATGCAGCCTTTACCAAACCAAAGCAAGAAAGGTTGATTGACTATTGGTGCTTCATCCAGCCTACCTATGTGAAAAAGGTCAAAGGGTAATATATCTTGAAAGGGACAAAATATTTCTCCTTCACAATGCACTTTGAGTATATAGTTCCTTTGTCACTACATGGTGCTTTGGCTATCTTAAATGATTCCTCTATGATATCTATATCATTCAATATTTGCTCATTTACGCAACCCATTAGTTGTTGCATTTCTTTTAGAAACAAGTATTTGGGGTATCAAAATAATATAGTATCAGTAACCTAGGTTAAAGGCTGTACCATAGCTCAAGCAGTTAGTCGCTGGCTTTCCACCGTGGCGGCCCGGGTTCGATCCCAGGTCTGGTAAAGTGGGATTTTGGGTGGACAAAGTGGTGCTGGGGCAGGTTTTCTCCGAGTACTTCGGTTTTCCCTGCCAATCTTCATTCCACCAATTGCTCCACAATCACCCTCACCTATCATCTGGGGCTGGTACAATAGGCCAGAAGTGGCCACAGTACAAGAGATTTAGTCCCACCCCACTAGGGGGGGGGAACAACAACAACAACAACAACAACAACAACAACAACAAGGTTAAAATATTCCACCAGGTCCATAGTAATAGGAGATTTAAATTCTCATTCCTGAACGGCAAACTGCTATCCCCATGTTAAATTCTGGCCACCTACCCATATTGTAATTCAAAATCCCCTATTTCCATACAATGATGGTTCGCTGGTCCATATAAAAAATGCAGATATTACTCTGATATATATTTACACCATGTATATTATTTCTGCATGAAGAACCACTTTTATGAAAGTCATTAATAGTATGCTCTAATGTATGCTGTAAGAAGTACCATTCTAGTCTCATTTTTGTTTGCAATAATTTACATGAAAGCTTGAATCTGGACTTACTCACCTGCAGTTTAGATGTGAGATCCTCCACTTTCTGCAATTGTAGACTATATTTTAATGCAAGATCTTTTAGGTCCTGCTGGCTGCGCTCACATAGCTCCTTAAGATGGGCACACTCATCCTCTGTGTTGCTCAGTGTCCTGCCATAACAATCACCACAAATACGACTATTAGGTTTATTCACTACATAAATTTGATTACTTACAGTGAAATACCTCTGTTATGTGTGCAGTCTATAATAACATGTCTCTAATATATGAGAATTGATTAATGTACTGTGAAGTTAACAACTGAAATGATGGAGCAGAGTACCTCCTTAGAAACATGCGTAGCTTAGCTAGTCAGGAAATTTCTCACCTTCTATGGAACCCAAAAGTTCACTGTCATGATTACATTAGACCACCCCTCATCCATAACCTGAACTAGATTTATCTAATCCACATGTCTGCACTCTATTTCTGTAAGATACACTTTCATATTATACTTCCACGCAGTCTATTCAAATTATTGGATGTTGAATATAAGGAATAACATGTGACCGATACATAACTGTTTTTTGCTGTTATGTCTTCGAAGTGTATGACAATGTAAATTTTCATATATATTATGTAAGATCAAAGAAAACAGAAGACCAAAGCATCACCAAAACATTAAAAATTGGCATCCTATCATTCTGGTAAGTCAACAGTAAAATAGCTCAGTGGGTTGGGATCAATTTCCTTTCACTGCAGTGTTGAATTCTATAAGTCTGGGGTGTTTTATACAGAGATAAGTGGCAAAGCAATATGGGGGGATGGAGGAGAGATGTAAAAAGACAAAGGAGTTTTTTCAGTCTCTTTTCTTTTTCTTGTGGGTCATTTAATGATGCTGATGCTATCAGCATTGAGAGTGCACAGCATCAGTTCAAGTTCCTGTGTTACAACTTGTATACTTAGAAGTCTATTAACCTGATATAACAATAGGTCATCATGTTGTCAGCTTTCAAGACATTTTAAACTTGTGTAACAAGAACTTTCACTAACATATAAACTAAAACTAAAACTAAAACTAGACTCCATGGAGCTGAGTCCTTTTTGAGAACCTGCCAATTGTGCAGCCACTCAAGATTTTCCCAACAGTTTACAGAAACTGAAGGTTCAGTACTATGGTCACAACAGCCCCTCAATGGTCCCTATCCTGAGCCACATCAATCTAGTCCATACCACCTCATCCTATCTAAAATCCATTTTAATGCTATCCTCCCACCTACATCTAGATCTTCCTAGTGGTATCTTTTCTTCTGGCTTTCCACCAAAATCAGGTATGCATTCCTCTTATCCCCATGCATACTATATGCACTGACCATCTCATTTCACTAACATATAAAAAAGTCTAAAACATTCCTATATAATGAAAATGTACAGTTTGTTATACACATTTCAGTTGCTTTACAATATATATTTAACTGATTGAGTTGCACACTGAAAAGAATATGACACAAATTCAGGCTGTGTAAAATGATTTGAATGCAAACATTCTAAACAAATTCACACTAGAATTTTTCTAAGTTTCAATTTTTTCTAAAATTTCTGTTCAATGATTCTCTTAGCAATAACAAACTTCCTAACATTTTGTCATCTTCTATTGCACTTAATCTTGAAATATATATTCCAATGCAATTAACAATGACAGTTGAAAATGTAACCAAAAAACACCTCAAACACCCAATATAAAAAAAACTGAACTGTACACTTCAAATACACCACACATTCTACATCCTGCCCATGATATTTTCCAGGAACATGAATGCTATGTTCAGCAAGGATTGAATTCAGATGTAAAAATACTTTTATGTTATGCAAGAGATTAGCTCTGCAACAGAATGTCTTACTTTTATTCTGGAGGTTTTAATTTAGAGCTTGGTCAAGGAATTCAGTTGAGTGGGAAACCAAGAGTGTCTACATGCATGTGCAGAGTATTTTTACCTTGCTTCATTATAAATCCATGAACTCAGTGACTGCCATTAGCTAGTTACTCCCTTTACTGTCCTGTTCACTGGCAGAGAAGTCCATACATATCGTGTCAGTATGACAATATAACTAACTACAACTGAGGCAGATGGAAATAACAACAGACACAATGTACCGTTCAAGATCCTGCATCTTTTGTACTGCTTCTAGTTTCTCTTGCAGCATTTTGCGGAGTGACTCCTTGGCTGTACCCTGATACTGACACTTATCTTCCTGTAACTTCCGTAGCTCCTCTCGCAGCTTATCCTCTGCAAAATTCTGAAAGGAAAAACAAGCTTTAAGACATTCCTTTGTCAAATTTCTGTAGTATAAGCAAATAAATTCTGAAGTTGAATTTATATCTGTGATACAACAGGCTTCATTAGAAAGAAAAATTTAATTTTTACAGCAGATTACTTATTTTATGTGAACATTTTCTTTATTACAAATGTCACAACACAACTAATATCAAGATCAGTGCCTAGTTTCGGCTGTTAATAGCCATCATTAGGCAAATACATGGCCACATATATACACCACTGAACCGCAGTACTAGTAAAATTGGATACAATATATTAATTATATAAAATACTTGACGTAAGAATACATGCCTGATGATGGCTATTAACTCTTTGACTGGCGCGGGCATGTTTTAACGCCCAGACGATGCCAGCCGTTCCCTGGCGTTGGCGTGTTTTAACGCTTTGACAATCTCTTCCCTTCTTTGCTCTCTTGGCACTCATCAACCAAAGAAATATATATGATAGTTTTTGTGCATGTTTGTAAAGAACCCTTGTAAACTTTGTGGGGGTCTATATTACTGTCAGAACCCTCTGAGAAGGAAAAGGTCAGAAAATATTTCACATTCATTCAGTTTCACCATGGCGTCTTGAAGCAAGTGTCGTGTTCCTACAGACCACCTGGAAAATGTTGTGAACGAGATTTGTTCTGATGATGATAGTGGCGTTGAAATAATGATTCCTGAATTGGATGAAGTTGATAGTGACAATAATACAGTGATAGACAATGATCCACAAGACAGTAATCATGAACATTTACCTACCACGAGTGCGGTGCCTGACACGCCCATCTCATGAACGTACGGAGACCTTGTACCCCCAATATTTCCATTTGCTAATAGTTTCGGGATCAAAATTGATATAACACATAAAATGCATCCCTTTTCATGGATTAAAATTTCTTCTGGATGACGACTTGGTAAATCACATCACAACTGAAACCAATCGCTATGCTCACGAACACTTACACACACGAGTTAGCTCCTTACTCTCGAAAACACAATTACAATTATGTCACATCAGATGAAATCTGGACATACTTAGGAATTGTGTTCATGACAGGAATCGACAAACGCCCTGAAATTGAAGAATATTTGTCCACTAGGCCCCTATTTCACACCCATGGTATGGACAAAACATGTCTTTGCGGTTGAATAGTTTCATTCTATTAAAAAAGAACACAACAAACGAAAAATACAAGAAATTACAGATTCAAAGATTTTATATTGGACTGTGTAGAAAAATGACTGAACCAAACAAACAGTGTGGAGAGGGAGAAAAGTCAAGGAATGAAGTGGATGACGAATCTATTGCGTCAGACTAGAGTGCAGTCACGCCTCCGCCCTCGACCTTGAAAAAACCACCAGTGAAAGAGCCAGTAAATCGTCTATAGGGTGGCTTGAAAATTCACAAAATGGTCCACGTTCCTCCCAGTAACAATAAGAAGAACGGTGCCCTGAGAAAGTGTCGCGTGAGTGCTAAGCACAAGGTTAGAAAAGAAACAAGTATCATGTGTGCAGGCTGTGGTGTGGCTCTCTGCAAACTTTCATGTTTCAATGTTTATCACACGAATAAAAACTAATAAAGAGGTATGGAAAGGCATTTATTGCATAAAATATTGTATTTTAATTAGTTCCTGAAAATTTCGTTTTTAAAAACCAATTTTTCTTAAAGTTGTTTAGGAAAAAGTAACTATATGCATTTTAGTGACATAAGGTTTAAAGGGCCTGCCAGGACAGGGATGGGATTTAAATACCCTTCGTGCCAGTCAAAGAGTTAATAGCCAAAACAAGGCACTGATCTTCATATTAGTTGTGTTGTGACGGTTGTAATAAAGAACTTGTATACTGTAACATAACAGGATACATGAAATGAAAATTATGTGAACATTCATACACTACACTCAAAATTATCTGTGTGGCACTTTCAACCCCCTTCTTTACCATCAATTTTCTAACTCAGGGATCTGACTGACGTACTGTCAGATGATGCTTCAACCTATATACGTGGTGCAATCCAAAAGTTCCCGAAATATATTAATAAAAACTATTACATCTTACCTAGATCTTATTCTGCACCATCACCTTCAAAGTAGTCCCCTTGGGAGCGCATACACCGATCCCAGCGTTTCTGCCACTTTTCAAAAGCATCCTGGAAGTCTTTCTTTGTTAGGGTGTTTAGTACCGTCTGCGTTTCCACTTGAATTTCCTCAACTGTATCAAATCTTCGCCCCTTCAACTTGATTTTCATCTTGGGGAAGAGAAAGAAGTCACATGGAGCTAAGTCTGGTGAGTACGGTGGGTGGGGAACAACTGCCATCTTGTTTTTAGCCAAAAATTCCTGCACAAT